GTAAAGGCCCTGGCGCAGAAACCAACAAACAGCCCCACGATTCGCGCGCGCAAGGTTTTTGAGGGTACCCGTTTTGGGAGGGGGAGTGCTTCTAAAAGGAAAAACAAATATTGGGGGCTTTGGTACCCTTTTCACCCTGGCGTAAGGAACGAACAAGAACACCCGCCCCTTTTTTCGGGCGGAATCTAAACCCACTGAGACGCACAGTTCAGCAGGTCCACCCCCCGCTCGAAACACGAATATGTTTGACAACCTCCTTTTGTTCCTAAAGCTGGCCAGGGTCTGGTTGAAACTGAACCCTAGTTGCCCGAGCTTTTTCTCCTGATTGACTGGGAGTATACACAGTCACTTTGTAACGTGCCCATTTCCGGGGAAATGTATGGGTGCGGAGTCATTTCGTGTTTTTTTTTTTGGGGGGGATCTTTCCTTCGCTTTTCGTGCGGGCCAGTAAAGTGTTGTATTTTAAAGAGTTTTCTTGCGAAATTGACGTATTTTGCACAAGGACCCTCAACATCCCCAGCATCGCTTTCAGACCAACATCCCCAGCATCACCAACAAATCGTGAGTTGCAAAATCTAGAAAGTGGCTGGCGGGTTGACGGGGTCGAAAAAAAATGATTCACATAAGAGTGCGTTTCAAAAAACAAAAAACATCTAACAAGTAGCGGGGGGTTGGGGGGACACCGCAGCCCCCCCCCATGATAGGGGGTGCAAGCAAATCTCTGTAGAAACCCAAAAGTAGCAGGGGGGTTGGGGGGGGGGGGGCAGCCCCCCCCATGATGTTCGAAGAAGTGATGATTTAAATAGGGAGGAACTGGTGATGCTGAGGATGCTGGAGGGTGAAAAAGCTGAAAAGCCCGGAGAGGAACTGGGCATGCAGAGGACGCGAAAAGCCAAAGCCACCAAACGCCGCATAAACCAACAAGAAGCCAAGAAGCCAAGAAACCAAAAAGGCAAGAAGCCGAGAAGCCAAAAAGCCAAGAAGCCAAGAAGCCAAAAAGCCAAGAAGCCAAAAGCGAAAAAAAAACACATCCCCTCCGAAATGTATTTTGAATACGAAAAAAAACAAAAACCTACCAAATACCTAGGCACATCTGCGCTCATGGGAGAAGACACGGTCCTGGCTCATCCGTGCTCACACGCGCATGCCCCATTTTTGCGCGGGTTAGGAGGCGAAATCCGCGGGCAAGGATGACTCTTCCCCCTTCCGTGTTGCCCCCCAAAGTGGTCCACGGGGGGCAACAACATGGCGGTGGAGAATAAGCCTTTCTATACTCAACCACTGTGGGCCATCATGACTATATTTCTATGGCTTGATTCCCCATTCTTTTCAATCATCGTTCTTTTCAACCAGGCGTTTCCCCTGGATTCTGGAGGGGAAGCCCTACAATCTTATCTTGAAGATGTCCTCCACAAAATGCCCCGAATTCCGCAAAATATGTTTGTTTGTTCCTCAGCGCCCCGGAGGCCATCTTTTCCACAGTCAGCGGGGACCGGCCTGGCTTTGCCTCCGGCGCCTCGGACTCGGGCGCCTCAGAGGTGACAGGCAACACACGGCGAGTTGGAGGGGCAAGCAAGGACTTTTTTGACACACAAGGCATAGTTTCCTATGCCCTCTTTGGCTTACATGGCCTTGCCAGTTTCTGGCTGACCTTGCCTCTGCCAAAATTCCCTGCTTCACAAAGCACACAGTGCAAGCAAGGATCTCATGAAGGTATGACGACGCCTTAGGTTACCGGCGTCTCTCTCATGTCATATGCTTCTCCCCCAAACTGACCACAGACTTCAGGATGTTTCCACCGAGTCACGTAACACACAACCAAACAACCTTTAGACAAGGTTGACATCGAGCCTGGTCTTGGGGCTTACTCTGGCGATGTCAGGGTTACCACACTCAGCCTTTGGCACCTGGTCATCTACGATGCAAAGCTGGCCTGGGGAATGATGAAACCAACCCAAAAGGGAAAATATGGGTGTGACTCTGAACAAAAAGGACGCTTTGGTGGACATCATTTAGATGGGGCTTGACTTCCAGCCAGTCTGGAGCTGGCTCCCTGTTCATTGTTTGCTTGCTTGCTTGCTTGCTTCTTTTTTTCCCCCCGCTTCTTTGTTCCTTTGTTTGTTTGCGTGTTTCTTTGTTTGTGAGTGAGTGTGTGTGTGTGTGTGTGTCTTTGTGCTTGCTTTGTGTGTTTTCGCATTTCTTGTGTTTCTTTGCTTGGCTTGGTTGGCCAAAAACGGTCCCCACACCTCGCTCGCGACTCGCACACACCTCGCCTGCGTTGCCTCGGCCGTGCTGCCAGGCTCGGCTTCGCGAGCCGCGCGCCTGGCGAAGTGGCCGAGTCTGGACTCATTGGCGCCACTATTTGTCGGATTGCAAGTGGCACACATAATTGTGCTCCCACTTGCGCCCGATTCAATCTGGGCCGAAAAGCCCCGCCGCCCCATTTCCGGCCTTTCATTTGCGGCTGGCCGTTCATAGTGCCTGATTTCAAGCAATATGCACACAGTGGTTCAAGCAATATGCACCCAGTGGTATTTGTCGGTGGCATCATAATAAATAACGCAAGCAACAAGAACAGGACATGTGCAGAAATGTGTATTTTCTCGCAAAGAAGGGGCGCTGAAACTCTGTGACTTTGCTTCCGATAGGACACACCACGTGGGCTGATGTCTTTTCAAATGAACCAATCAAACATGTTTGGTATTTGAACGAAACCATCAGTAAAATCGGTCACAAACCACATACCTGAGAACGATTTGTTGTTTGCCCACATCTGGAGTGTCCATGACGCCTTAAACTACAAAACTATGCTCAAAAGTAAGGGATCATCACCCCGAATATTTCTAACCGGGGCTGTGGGAAATGACCCCTGATACAACAGTAAGGGCTTCCCAAACACCAACCCACCACATAACAAAAACAATAAATCCCTTGTATCACAGAAGTGGGGTAAAACCTGTTGATCCCACACCCCGTATGCTTAACGGTCTTAGAGACTCCAGGCACTTCAGTCACCGAGCCAAAGGCTCCAGCACTCCGCTGCTCCGCACCTCGGGCGCTTCTTGGGAAGCTCAGGTTCAGCATCCGGCTTGGCGGCCTGGAGAGTCCCATAGGTGTGAAGAAATCGATGGCCCTGGCAAATGAAAATGGCATAGACCCCATCGAAACCAGTGAAACCCCTCGATTTCTTATGACACACTCACCTGCAAATTGGACACCTATGTTCACACGCCTGTGTCAAACCTGCTTCCAGCTACCACAGGTCAGCGGCGAAGATTCATGATGTGAATCTAAAGCATCGAGGAACGCTGTTGGGCACACGGGGTCTTCAGGAATTCTCAAAAACTAACTCGTAGGCTAGCACATATGGCCATGCCGGTTGCTCCTTTATGTCTGGGGAGTGGTGTTCAAGGTCTCCAACTGCCTCTGCAGGTCTCCGGCCTTTCGCTTCTTTCTCTTCCTCACCTTCGGCGCTTCCTCAGAGTCATCCTCCAGCAGCGCAGCATAGCGATTGCCGGCCAGGGCAGCATGCGCACGCATGGCACGGCCGCTGTTGGAACACTGCGATCTGCGCAAATGACTACCCCAACCTCAGGGAAAACGGGCACCCACTTTCTCTACTTGGATTCAAAGGAGAACCCCTTCAAAAGAAGAGAATACGGCACTCTTCCGGGCTATGTGCGTGGGTTTTGGAAGCCCAACGGACACCAACCACTTTGGGGGCCCAAGTCGTTTCCAGCGCTTTCAGTTGCCAGCATAGTAGGCAAATAGGGGAACCCATCATGTAAAACCCAAGAGGGAAGAAATCCTGCATGTTGGAATTGTACTCCTTTGCGGTATGCCAACTGAAAGCACTTCGAGCCTAAAGTGACAAACGCCTGTGCTAGTATGCCCTCAAACATGGAAGTGCGCATACTCCTTCACTAGAAGTCGGCAGTCTTCCAAATGGGTCGAACGAGCAGCAAACCATGCTTGTTGGAGGGATACTATTCCCCAGCCGCTGTGTTCCGGCCCGCAAGAGTGGAACTTCAGAATCAATGGGTACCCAAGATTCATCACGAACCCACCTAAGGACACCTTTAAATGGCGAGGGTTGAACGCCTTGCTAATAAGGGCCAATACAGATGAACAAAGGCCTTTACAGTCGAGCGTTGGCGGAGTGGTCCGTTGGGTCTTGCTATGAAACGTGACGGTTTCATTAGCTGGATAGTTTCCCCACGTCTTCCATGGCCGCGGGTTAACATCTTTGAACCCCTTCGCCTTCCAAGTCCCTGCGCGGCGTTTTTGTCTCTGATCAGCAATTGGACTGTCTGGGCGCCCGGGAACATTCGCATGGACTTTGCATGCACTACTGTACGCTCTCATTGAAAGCTACATCGGAAACAGCAATATTTGCTGCCTCTCTTCAACCAATGGTGCTTTCCTGGATGCCAAATTGGGGCTGCAAACCATCCCCTGCAGTGTCCTTTTGGACAGTGAAGATTCAGCACCCAGTTGTGACTGCGCTGCGAGTTTACTCAGAGGTTGTGAACAAATGAGCGCTTGATGCTTGACCACAGGGACATTGGGGTGTTTTTTTTCTGGGTGACGGTGACTGTTGTTGGGGCTTTGAAGGCAAAAGGAAATCAGGCCTGGGCTCCACTTGGCCCATGGAAATGAAAGGTCTGTTGGATCCAAGCATCCCTAAAGACAGCCCAACTGAACTTGGCCCAAGCCTGAGGTTTCGGAATGCGTCGTATCAACCCCCAGCGAACATCCGATTCAATCCCCACTAAAATAGGTTCTAAACTGGGTGGTGCACCGAAAACCCCAAAATGGGATCCCATTAGCTTGGACCCATGGACATTATTTTATTGGAGGAGACCCCAGTTCAGGGTCGATAAGCCTGAACTCCACCGAAGGCAACAGTTGAGGGGACCGGATCTTTAGATGTGTGTGTGTGTGTGTGGTGAAATCAAGGAAAGGCCAGAAGGCAGATTCGCTTTGGGCCCAGTGAGTGCTCACAGCGTCATGTCCAGCTCACTGCTGCTGGTTGGCATGCCATAGTAATAGAAGACCTGACATGATAGTGCGGATGGACGAAGAATTCATCATTTTGCACCACCTAAGGAACCATGGTTGAAACCATTGTTTGTTGGTAGTAAAAAGGACAGCATGTCATTCCAGGGTTCCTGAAATGTAGTGCAGGATTTCGTCCATCCACAGTACTGGTGAGCACTACAGTACTGGGTGTTGGCAAGGGGTGGGGAAGCATTAAAAATTGCCGTTCCCCTTCTGCTTTCCTCTTGGAAAAGATGTGGGTTAATGGGCAACCAGACAACAGAGCACCCCAGGGAATTGACAAAGCTACCCCCAACTGCGGATAAAACCGGGTGCTTGGCCTCCATACATGACTTCCCTTGTACCTACAAAGGGAAAGCATCTGAAGGGCCCCTGTATTGGAGGCGATTCCATACATTATTTGGTCATGTGCCACATTGGTCTCTGCCAAAATAGGAATCCGACCCCGCCGAACAAGTTGTTGCTTTCGCCAAAAGAGGGTACCCTTAACAAACACAGACCGCTGAGGCCAAATAAGGCCAACTTATGGCCTCGTGTTTTGCCCCGGCAACGCTTTGCGGCCGATCCCGTGGCAAGTTGGGTACGCTTGCTTGTAGGCTACTGAAAGTGGCAGGTGTTGCAGGTGAAACGGAAAACATGAAAGAACGCCAAGGGCCTTTAAGGGCAAAACGGTGAGGCACAAGTGCAATGAAATCTGCACCCCAAATTTGCCCATCGCCTGCACCTTCGGTGCCTTTGGTACAGTCACCGGAAAGTTGCCCGCCAGCCGAGAACATGCTGTGCGTAGACCCCCGCCCCACGACAAATCAATAGAACCAAGAACCACTGACGAAAATATCCTCGAATAACCTCCCAAGAAATGAACGCCTGGTGTAATATCTTGAAGGCAAGGAACCCTTACCTACCTTTTGGCTTGCCTGCAAGCACTAAGGTTGCTTTGTCAGGAATCTGAGGAAGTGGCACAGTGACGTTTGAAATTATGCGTCGGACCAGAACTGTTTATGTGCTTGTCTCAAACTTAGGGACCTCCAACACATAGTTTCGTTTTCATTACTTTTAAGGGGCTACCAACAACAAAACACGCCCGTTTCCCTAAAGGGAACCAGAGTGGGGAGATGGTTCAAACAAAATGTCCCAACCCTGCCCGGAAATGGTTCTCATTCGGGAATGCGGGAATGACACCCTGTGAACCATCCAATTGGTGTCCCAAAACCTGTCAAAGGATTCCTCACTGAGAATCAGCAAGTAGTACGCATGCCTGGCTCCTTGGGCCCGTTGTGTGACGACATCGCTTACGTCCCCCCAAAAGCCAGACCCCCAGTGGATGCGCATGAAAGCAAAAGGGCACCCATTTTGGGTAGTCTGCTCAGTTGCACAAAGGACCCGTAAATAAAAGGTTCACCTTTTGGTGCGATGACTAAACATGGACCAAACATGGGACACCAAAAAAGATCAAACGGTCAATTCGCTTTTGGCAACTCAGTAGGTTTTGGGAAGGGACACCGCCTCGACTTCGGAAAAGCGGAAGCAACTGGAGGTTTGCCTCAATTTGCTTCAGTACCCTGAAAAAAATACCATTTTGCCCCGGGGTGAAAGCCATTCCCTTTAAACCCACCAGGGAAAAAACCACATATTTTCTTCACCAACGGGAGGCGTGGGTTTCAAAGTCGCCAAGGGCACTGTCGCGGCCAGCAGTACCAGGCAGGCCATGAGGATCCTCAGCTTTTCAACGGGGTCCGCGGAAGGACACGAGCAACCCCCCCCCCCCCCCAGGTCTGGGACCTGGCCAGTCCTCTCAGGTCCTGTCTGGCCAACAGGATTGCAATAGGAAAGTAAAAAAGTACATGGCACCAGGCCTGGAGTCTCCTTCCAACCTCGAAAAATGCACGACCCCACGTTAGGTCGGAAGGAGACTCCAGGGAAGTGCTATTTCCCAGGCCTGGAGAGGGCCGGGATTCATCAACGTAGCCTTGAAGGGGGCGACCCTTTCCGGGCTTGCGAAACCCTGCTTTGTTTTAGCAAATCGAAGTAAGACTAGACATGTGCTATGTCCGGCTACATGTGTGTTTACTCGGAGACTCTGAGACAATGACAAAAGTTATATTGGCAAAAGTATTGGCAATAGCCTTGGTAATTTAATTCATACGTGTTTGGTATGATTGGGATGTTGGGCCTTCTTTAATCAGATAAGGTTTTCTGGGAAGGAACAACAAAAATAATCGGAGGGGTCTTTTGGCTGCCATTCAAGTGGCAGTCTGGACAACATCCGCCATCTTATTCACCCTCCTTTTGGACACTACATGGGATTGTCGTTTGGTGGGGAGGTAAAACAAACGCACACACACACACACAATTTGGGGTGTCCCGCCGAAATCCTCATCATTTCTGTTTTCACATCCTCAGGAGGTGTCCCTTGCCGTTCTGTCCAACTGGCTCGGGACATGGGGGTGTCTTTTCTTAACCCTACCAAACATGCTGCGTTTCCTCGTGCTTGCCCCAAACGCCAACCAAGGGCCCCCCCTCTCCCAAAGAAAAAACAAGAAGAAGAAGAAGAAGAAGTGCATTCTTCCCTAAAAAAGGCCAACCAAGCCACCCCCCCCCCCCCAGCCCCCACCGCCCCCCCCCCCCCAAAATCCCCCACTCCTCCCCCCCACCCCCTCCCCACCCTCAATCCCACCTTTGGAGGGAGACAGTCGGGAGCTGGGCCCCAGGCCACGTGCATGAGCCTTGCTGCTCTTGCCTCGATCCCAGCCCAAAGGCCAAAAAGATGGGCTCGGCCAGCAATGCTTTCTCCGTATTTGCTCGTGTATGTCGACTCGACACGTTGGACAGGCCGCAACATACACTTACAAACTGGGAAACACCTCTAACTATGAGTAATGTCCCTAAACTGCAGGAAAGTTATCTTGACAAATACAGAGGAGATTGCGAAATGTTGAAACAGATCCCCCCCCCCAACCGAATATCATAAGGCCCTGGTTGTACACGATTTTGCATCTAGAAAACCTGGGTATTGAATAAACACGGGGGACTCGCAAAAAACACCCACAAAATTAAAGTGAAAAACATCAAACAGGGCCATGTGGGTGTGTCTTTTTTTGAGGTACCCTTTTTGAGATTGCTTGAAGGCAAAGCAAAAGGACAATCAATATCCCCAAATTGAACAATAAGCCCCCACTCCGTGGCTTCTATGGATTTCACCCACTTATGGGCCAATGGGATCGAGCTATGGGCGGGCATCCAAGTGCTTCCCCCCTGGAAAGGGTCGATGAGACAATTTCTTCGCTGAGAATTAATGTCTTCGATCAGAAGTGTCTTGGAAGCGATTTTCCTGGGACAGGGGTTTCCTTTCCAACTTTGGAATGGCACTTCGGATTGGTTCGCCTTGCGTGTTGCCGCGTGATTGGAGCAGGGGCGCCCTACCCTGAAGCTTCTGGAGACTCGGAAGGGTCCCCCTTAACCAGCTATGTGAGGTGAGCGATTTCCCCAGACAATAGGTCCCAAATAGCATTTGCCCTACACATAACCCACGCACTAAAAACGCATGAAGAGATACCACGCCACTTGCGTGACGTGGGATCGTCCAAGAGTTGTTTTTCCTTTTGTTTTTTCTTTTTCTTCTGAGGATATCTGAGGTGGTTCGTTTGTGGTGCAAGGTTGTTTTTTGGGGGTGGTGACGGTTTTACTATACCGATTTGGTTGAACATCGACTGGAAAATCCACCAGCTGGCCATTTACCAGCTATCTTCCCTGGCCCCCGCCCTCTCCTCCTCTGCTCCCCATTTCTCGCCCCAAAAAAAGGGCACAAGGAAGGACTTCCCCCTGCCAAACCATCTGCCAAGGAGACTCACCCCAAAAAGGTGATGCTTGCCAGCAAAAAGAAGATTATGCCTCTGTCTTGCTTTAGGGGACCCCCCCTAAAAAAGAAACAAACCAACCATATTTCCTTGTGGCTTCCCTTGACCACCAAAAACATGTCACCGCTGCAAGGTTGGCTCGAACATCCATTTCGCGGCCCAGGCTGCTCTGTGAGGTTGTCCAGGCCGTACTGCTTTAGCAAAGGCTCCAGCTGCTTCCTGCGGACCGAAGACCTTCCCTCAGAAAGGATGGCCCAAGCCTATGGGGGGAAAAAGGGTACAAAGGGTACGTTGTTTTTTTTCTCCGAGAGTCGATTTTTTTCGGGTCGAAGGCTCTTGGATATTCAAAGGGTCTGTTTTGGTGCTTGAACGGGACACCAAAGGGGCAGACTTCCAGTTTGATGGGTGCCTTCAATCATTGAAGGACGCACATTTGGCCAGTGCATCGCAGATTTACAGGTACAGGATCCCGAATCTTTGTAAAGCAGGTGGTGTTTGACGTACGTATCCTTCGGGGAATCATGACAAGCGTCCTTAAATAGTTAATTTCCTTAGTGATCAAAAGGATGGCCTCCGTTTGGACCCCAGTGCCGCCGATACGTGCAGAATATAAAGGGGCGAGGATTTTTGTTGACATTGGCGTGGAGGTTCAGGACTGCAATTTCCCCAAACCGAGGGGTTGCACCCAACGCCTACTGCTTTGGCTCAAAGGGGAACCGGTAAAGAAACTGCCCACAACGGAGCCCTGGCCAAATAAGTTTCCTGGGTCAACTTGGGATATATCTGGGCCACACACAACCCCCCCCTTTTGCGTGGGGGATGGCTTCATTTCGGGGGCCCCGATTCCTATGGTCCGGTCCCAGCCGACTAGACTCGCTCGGGGCGCCTCCTTTCAGCCTTCTCCTCCTCTGTCACCTCCTGTTTCCGCAAGTAGCTGCTGTACCTCGAACCAAACTACGGTTTCAGCCCTTTAGCGGTCTTCACAAGATTAGGGTTTGCAGCCCCCGATGTTTTTGTTGGAATAACTTACTTCACACGCCGGAAACAGCCCAAACATCGGTTGCAAAGGCCCCGCGTCCTACGAAACTGATGGCAGTGCTCGCTCTGAAGCATCATATGAGAGGCTTCTTGAATCCACCGGTAGCCTCTTGGCTTTCCGAAGCACACCAACAGTTGAGGGCCACATTGGGGGGTCCTCCGTTTTAACAACCCACCATACGGAATCTTCCAAAAATGAGGCCTCCTTCAGATTTGAAGCACTTTCACCCACGGAGAAAAAAAAGGAAAAAAAGAAAAGAGTCGACCGTTCGGACTGCAATTCCCGATGCTTACCCAAGGACAGCAGCTTTCTGGGTCACTTGTGTTCGCCATTAGAAAACAGGCAAGAAACAAAGGTGCCCGATCCAATGGCACCTACCACAGGAGCCACCCTCCAACAAAAACAAAGGGAACATGGCTGGTCCCTCGTTTTTGGAGCTGGTACCCCCTTTGATTTGCAGTTTCAAGAGAAACCAAAAGGACGACGGAAGCTATTTTGGTGGGTCCACCAAAAAGCACACACCCAATTAATTGGCTGGATAAATACCACTACTAGTCCATGGTTGTGACCCTTCCTGTGATACCAAAGTGAACCATGCCCAGTAGTACTTCATCACGTTCACACGGATATTACAGAAAGTCGCATGAACAAACCCATGTTCCACAAACATGCCTACTATCATGGGTTGCTCTTGCGCCCTGAGCAAAAGATCGCTCACCTTCTGTAGGCTTTAATGGGGAAGCCAATGGTTTTCAAAAGGTCTCTCCGGGTCGATTCAAAGACCAGCCATGGCGAACCACCTGGGATCTGGGTGACTTTCGGCAATCCCACTCAGGTCTTGGCTCCAGAAAGAGCATGTAACCTCAGCGCCACTAATATCTGGCCACAACTCGCAGGCCTGGAGTTGAGAATGGAATTCTGATCTTGGTCACCTTGAATCATTGCATGTGCCGCTGGGGAAAAAACAAACTCCAAGAACCAAAAACTGGGAAGGGGTTGGTTTGATACCAGCTGGAACCTCCACTTTTTGTTTGGCGTATGACTCCGTCAAACGAAAGACCTTGCATTACACTGCACAAAGCAGTAACTCGATTCCCGAAAAGGAACCCCCAGTAGCCATTGGGAAAAAGAGAAATGACACTCTTCTCAGTGGTCCAAAGGACCCAGAAATAAAAGGTTCACCTTTTGTGGTCATGACAAAAAAGATCAAACATGGGAAACCAAAAGGTCGCAAGGTCGACTCACTTTGGGCAAGTCAGTTTTCTTTGGGTAGTTGGTTTTAAAGGGGCCCACCCCTCCAAGAACAAGCAGAAGGATGCAACCCGCTGGGGAAGCGCAACGGAACTTGGCACCCTTAGCTTGGAGCAAACGCTTTGATTGCTTGGTGACGCTTAATTTCACATTCCCCGCAGTTTGTGTTTTGGCTTGGTGATTTGGACGAATTCGGGGGTGCCTTCCCCATTTGGCTTCAAAGAACGGGGGGTTCCAAATCTCACTGCCAATGTCCAAACCAGCAGAGGGGCAACCTGAGAATTATTGGTGGTTTGCATTGGGCTTAGGCTTTTAGAACCCAAACAAAAGACACCCACCTAACCCCCATGAGACCCGAGCCTGCCCCACCCCGCTAGTGGATGATATTTAGCAGAGAAACCAGGGGCACTGTGTTGGCTGCTCCAAGGCACACCCACCACTGTGGGGGCGTTCCCATAAATGTGCACCAACACCCCTGAAACTTTGGTTGCCATTATTTTGCTTATTAAGTCCCCTGAAAAAGTATTTCCAGAACCATCAGGGGAAAGCAACAAACATTCCTGAGCAAGTTTAAGATCTGCATTCCGCAAATGGTGAACTCTTATTTTCGTTTGGCACAAACATTCGCACAAGCCAACAGCAAAACCTGGCAATAGACGGGATGTGACGACTCAAAAGGGCAGCTGCGCCCATTTCTGGTTGGACTGTGTCCTACCAACCTTCATCTACCCTGGGTACCTTGGTGTTGATAATGGAATCCCCACACCCTGGGAAAAAGTTCCCCCCCTCCCCCTCCCCCCCTCCATAGTACTTTGTTACAAGCCCACCCCAACCTCCTATACACTCACTTCCAGAGTGAACTGGCCAAGCAAAAACTGAACTGTACCACCCAAATGGTCCAAGCCCAAGAAGCGACCAAAGTCCATGAACCCAAATGGTCCAAGCAGTGAGTACACTACTTGGAGGCTGCTTGGCTTGGCACCAAAGCGCCTTCCCCGCAGCTCGCGGCCGCCAGAACTTTGGCTTTTTTCTGCATTAGCCCAGCGCGGCCGCCAGAGCGGTCTGCCAGTAGTCCAGCGCATCCATCTGCAGCTGAGCCTGGTGACCTCCGTGCCGATTCTCCGTCCGTCCGAATCCGACTGGACCCTCCAAATTCCAACTGGAAACATGGGTTCCTGCCCCAAAATTCGGGTTGCAGTGACTCTCTTTTTTTTGCCTTGTTTTTTTTAAAGGGTGGTTTGAGGGTTCAGGTCTTCAATCTTTGGGAGATCCCCTCATTTCCGGCTCAACCCTGTACTTACCCCATATGGGCATGTCCCACAAAAAGACAAAGGTAGGACAGGCAAAGCAGTGGTTCCTTTTGGTTTCCCTTTGACCTGAAAGACGGGTACCCTGGGTTACATGGCTAGAGTATGGCTCAAAGAAACCGTCGAAAGTCGCACAAAACAAAACATGACAGTGGGACAAAATCCAGCACTTTGAAACCATAGGACCCATTTTTTTGGTATTTACCGGGGGAATCGAACCAGTCCAGGGTTTCTTAGGTGGTGCGATTTCAGGATTTCGCAACCATCCACAGTATGGGGGTTGCTCAAAGCAGTGGTCGCGGAAAATGGCTGGCGTCCTTTGATTTCCCTTTTCATCTACTGACCAAAAGCAGGTTCAGCATTTTGAGAAAGACTGTATATAAGTCTCTCGCAAAAAGGAGAAGCATGAAACCATCTTGGGTGACAAATCCAAATGGGATGTCAAAACCTGGTGATCAAATCATGGAAGCCGACGATGAGAGGGCTTGGAAGACGAAAGCTTCCTTTCGGGGAAGCCCCGCTCGTCCCACATCTATGAATCGGACATCCACCCCAAGAAAGACACCCACCCACCCGCACACCGCAGAAAAAACAGACGGGAACACAAACACAATCACATATATATATAAACCTTAAACAATGCAAATAGACCCCAACGAAGGCTGGAACTACTGGACTGAGCTGGGTGGCTGCGCATTGCATCGCTGATGCGCAGTAAGGCCTCATCAGAGATCCTGATCCGCACTTTGCTCTTTCGAGCGAGAAGCAACCGCGTTCAACCACCCACCCTGGACATGGGTCGTAAATTCCACAGTATTCCTTGTTGCCTTGTAATATGTATACATACACATATATATATATATGTATATGTATATAAAAATATATATATGAGCATGAGCATCAACTGTCCTTGGGTAACCAGGTACCCTTCAACAACTGACGATGAAAAAATGGCGAGATCTATGGTGGCAACTGGGACCCACTGGAGTTCCATACGTTGCTTCGCCGTTGGCCAAGCCTATCCTGGCAAAGAGGTCGGCCCCCAAAACGCGGAAGAAAACCACCTGAGTCACTTGCTCAAAACCCGGTATCAAAATGGTCTACCCAGAACCATGTAAAGAATTAAGAAGGCGGCCGCCACTATTTCTGGCTGGGACTGCCCCTTACTAACCTTCATCTACCCAGCCTGAACAGGGTACCCGAAAAAAACAGGAAGCACGAGATGTTGGGACCCACAGTCGAGCCCAATATGAGATGTACAGGCGCTGCCATCGAAGACTTCATGAGATACTTGCAGAAACCACGACTTGTACAGGGAAATGTGTGGTGTGTGTGTGGATTCTTTTACTCCTTACGGGGAGCTGTTCACTGTGTGTATATTTGAGGCTAACCTTGCTGGGGCTTTGATGGGAACAAAGGACACCACTGTTTTTGTTGCCGTATTTTGACAAATATCCATTTACACCACCTAACCACACGGAAACTTTGGGGAACCAAGAAAGCCTTGAAGACTAACATCATGTATTATCAAGTCATTTCGGGTTCCAACAGATTCCCTTGAAGGACTGGTCGGCGCTCAATGCAAGGAATCTGATTGAAGCATTCCCACCAAGCTGGGCCAGACTTACACTCACAAACGAAAGGACAGCCAAAAAAGGAACCGGGTGATTCCAGTTTCCACTATAGTCTGGTAACCGGGTATTTTTACGTCTAGGCGCTATAGTATGGTTTCCCCTGGTTACCTACCATAGTGACATAGTGCCTGGAAGCATCCGGGAAAGCTGGTGAAACGGTTGCCATTCAGCTAGGGATCGTGGCCTTCTCCAGAAGGTCCCGCGCGCTGGAGAAATGCAGCAAGTGAGGCCGGAGCCACCACTCGGTGTACTGCAGCCAGTAGTGCCGCTCCCATCGGAACTGATAGAAGCCTTAGCTTGGTTGCTGTTGACCCCCCTGCAAAAAGTTTAACTTTTTGGGGGGGTTAGTGAAAAACGCCATGATTCTCCCAGAAAGTTAAACTCAAAAGATCCAACCCAATAGCCCTTACTTGAGTCATAGTCAAAACCCGGGTAAACTGGTGGTCCCAGAACCATGCTTCAATGAGGAAGGCGGATGTCTGCAGCTATGTAGGGGATTGTCCCTCGCCTTCTACCCGGGTGAGCACGTGGCTCAGGGGAATTCGAGCCCACTGGTTTGGAGCCCGGCTTGGTAGAGGGGTGATGCCCAGCTACCCTCTGGAACCAGGGCTCAAAATTCAGCCGGGGCAAACCGCTTTTGAGCCACAACCTTTTCCGGGCCTATAGTCCCTAACCAGGCGCCAATTAAAACATGCAAGTCCGAAACCTGAGGGTTACCTATTCGGAATCCACAGGGTGAAGGAAAATCATGACAGTCCCTACATCTCTGCAGATTAACATGGAAACCCCCCAATTTGTAGGCTGCAAAAAGTTTCGAGTGCACCTCATGTTCATCAGCGGATTGAAGTAATATAAGGGCCAACAAACATACACACACACACTCAATTCTCTGAGGCACTCTGGTTCCAAAGAACCAATGAATGCTCTAGTATCGCAAGTAAACCAACCGCAGCAACCCCCAAAACCAAGGTCAATTTGGTGAATTCCGGCGTTCCCTTGTCCCCCTTGCAACATTTTTCAGGCATCCGCCGTACTTCCCGCCGAGTTGCGCCTCCCCGCGATTTGAAAGTCCAGCGGCGAGGGGCGACTCGACCCGGCCGATGGCTTTGGCTCGGCCATTCGCGGAGGGCGAGCCTTGCTCAGCAAAGGCAGCGGGTCGTCTGGCCAGACGAACTTGTGGATCAGCGGTTCCTTGGAGGGACTGGACGTCCGACCACCCGACTTGGCAAGTGGCTAGTGTCCCCAAATAATAAGTCCCTCATCAAGTGTCCTTTTGGCGAGAGGAAGTGCCAGCCCAAAGCCCCATTGAATCACCATGTTGGATCTTCTTTCAATAGGGAATTCCAACTTGGCAAAGAAGGGCCAGTCAGTCACTTCCTGAGTGGATTGGCCACAAAAAGCAAGCAAACTCAGACTCAAAAAGTGACTAGAGTCCGAAACGGAACTCGGGAAGTGAGTTGCAACCTCCCAAAGAAACCCCACCGCCACCAGTAAAACCAGCCCAGGCTCGGAGGGCAGAAACAAAGGCACTGCCATGGCGTAGACATCCGCCAAGCGCAGGGCGTTGGGGATGTGCGGCAGCATGGCCACCGCGCGGAAGGAGGCGATCTCAGCCTCAAATCAGACTGAGGGGCATGTGGACAACCAAGGATTGTACGGCAATGAGCGGTTTTGGGACCCAGGGTTATAACCTAGTTCGCCTCGGCCCCAAAGGGGCCAAGGGCGCTCAGATCTCTTCTCCAAAGAGAATCTTCGCTTTCCCCTCCCCAACCAAAACGGCCCGCCCCCCCCCCACCCATGTCGGCTGGCCCAAAATCCTGTCCGGCGGGCCTTGAAATTTTCGGGGTTCGTCGGCGTCCAGCTCCATGGGTCCATTTTTGTCGAAAATGTGCTGACAATTGCGAAAGCACGAAATTCCTTTTTTGTCCTGAAAAGCATGACTGGCCAGGCCTGTCTGACGTGTCTGAGACTAGGCTCAGGCCCAGCCCAACCAGCAACCCGCCTGCTGGCCAGGCCTGTCAGCCCAGCCCACCCGCCTCAGGCCCAAGCTTGTCTGCACGGCCCCAAGTCATCCAGCAAGCCCAGCCCAGCCTGCCCAGCCCAGGCCCCGGCGCATCTCAGGGCATGCCAGTTACTAGGCCGGCCCAGTCCCTCAGCCCGCCTGCTGGCGTGTCTTACGTGTCTGCGACTGGCCTCAGGCCCAGCCCAGCCAGCAACTTGCCACCCAGCCTGAGGCCCAAGTGTGTATGAAACAGGCCTTGCTAATCTGGCAACCCGCCCAAGCCAGCCCAGGCCGGCCCAAGTTCCAGGCGCAACTGAGACTAGCTTCAGGCCCAGCCCAACTGCCCAGCCCAGGCCCGGCGCATCTCAGGGCATGCCCCAGCTCCCAGCCCACCAAGGTCAGGTTTGTCTAACGTGTCTCAAACTGGCTCTGAGACTGGAGCCAGTCTGAGACTGATTTCAAGGTATGCCAGCCTGAGACTAGCCTCAGGCCCAGTCCCTCAGCCCGCCTGCTGGCGTGTCTTACGTGTCTGCGACTGGCCTCAGGCCCAGCCCAGCCGCCCAAGCACATGGCTTCGCAGCCTCGTGGCTGAGACTAGCTTCAGGCCCAGCCCAACCAGCAAGTTTGAGACTCGCACACCTTGCTGGGCTCAACTAGCGTCTAGCCCAGCCCAGTCCGCCTGCTGGCCAGGCCTGTCTGACGTGTCTGAAAGTGGCCTCAGGCCCAGCCCAGCCATAGCCCAGCCCCCTCAGTGCGGCTGCCCAGCCCGCCGTAAACTAGCTTCAAGCCCAGCTCAACCAACAACCCACGCAAGCAAGGTCCAGCCAAGCTGCCCGAGACTAGCTTCAGGCCCAGCGCAGGCTTATCTGATGTGTCTGAGACTAGCCTGTGGCCCAGCCCAACCAGGCGAGGCCGGCTTGTCTGACTTGTCTGGAGCCAGCTTCAGCTTCAGGTATTCGGACCTTCCCAACACTGGATTTCGGTGTTCCTGACCCTTCCCTCAAACTAGGCTGGGCCGAGGCGGGCAACGAAGCGTTTAGAATTAAATGGGTTGACCACTCCCCCTTAACACCGGTAAGGCGACCGCAGATGTCTTGTCTGCTGGTTGATTGGTCCATGCCTGTTCCGCTGGACCCGATGACTATGAAGGCTTGTAGGCCTTGCTACAATCGCCATTTGGCCACGTGGCGGACCCGCCTACCAAAATGCCCAATGCTGGCTTTGGACGCAGCTCAGACGCTGACCAGAGGGGGGCCCTTGCAAACTAACAGTGACTCTACGTGGCTATTTGGGGCCATTGAGGACTATGACGGGATACTACGGGTGACCCTTGGCCTTCTATCCTCCGATCAAAGTCATTTGCCGCTATGGTGTCGGGAACTTTGGGTGGGGTGGTAGGTTCGGGATTCATCCTCTAACTACCTCCAACCTCCCATGGGTGTTTCTTCAAAGTAACCCGGGTTCCACCTAAGGGAAAAGAGGATGGGAGGTTTCTCGACCGGCATACCAGCCAAAGCAAGCGTTGCTGTTCGAAGCCCCTAAAACAGAGCCAACCAAAGCCGCATAAACTCCCACGCCCAAATGGCCAGGAAATTGAAGGTTTTGGGACCTCAACTAAACCAGGACATGTTGAGACTAAACATCAAAGCAGCCAGAAACAACAACAAGCACACACAATTACACAAGCATGAATCTAAAATAGTAAGGTAAAGCAACGTTTCTTCTCTGCGCCGCAATCTAAAGATGGCCAAACTGGGTGACGTTGAAATAAATCGCCACAAAAAGAAAATACTGTGAGGGGAAAAGTCAAACAGCCATGTAACTTCATGTTTGCATTTCATGAACCTTAAACTGCAACAGGAAGAAATAATGTTCCCTGTTTCCCCCCCCCCGCGCCCTTTCCGCCAGCCAAAAAGCACATATTGAGTAAGCCTTGACATGTAAAAACTCCTGAACACTCAACTAAGCCCAGCCGATATCCCCAAAAACTGGGCCCCGAAATGTCCCGCCTAGACCCCCCGCAAAACGCCCGGAGCCGGGCAGATCACGGGCGAGCTGCAAAGCTCATTGGCTTCATCATGATGTCCACGAGCTGCTGTCGCATCTCGGCCTTGGGTCCAGAGCATCCACCAAAATGATCCTCGTGCAACTCGTCTGTTTAGTGAATACCTTCTTCGGGGTCACCTTGAAGGGAAACCCAAAAAGAACACCACCAGGTTCCAAAAGTTGAGACATCCCCAAATGGTGGGTTGAAACGGAGACCATTTAAGAACAACATCTTCCACTGCCAAAAAACATTTGAAGGGAAACAGGTCCCAAAAGGAGCTGGGGCCCCGACCCCCCGAATCTGTTTGGTCACAATCGGGGCGCCTCGATCAGGCGCAGCACGCGCAAGAAGGGGGCACCACCCGGCAGCGAGGACCGAAAAAAGAGCAGCTTGGGCTTGCTTGGCTGGTAGCCTCGCAAGAAACCAATTCGTCCATTTGCGATGTCTTGTTGGCTTTGCCTGGATTCCAGAGAGGAAATCCAGTGTCCCAATTTTACTTGCGTAAGCCCCCTGGAAAGCATATGTCCAGTAGTGATAGATTTCCTTTAAACCCAACAGGCGAACATTCAACAAAAACTCTTAAGCAAATGCAGAACCCGTTTCTTGGAACCGTTTTTTTGCGAGTCTGAGCGGTCTGGATTCCCAAGCGAGTCGCGGGTGTCGATGTGTAGAGAGAGACAAGGCACATACGGCGCTCTGATGCCGGCCTGCCAGTCAAGCATCTCCGCAGTGATGCGGGAAGTTGCGCTCAGCAACTCCGTCTGTTTGAAGGCTGGAACCAGCTCCTACCGAGGATCTGGACAATGGTAATCGTCTTTGGGGTCCTTTCAGGATCCGAACAAAGCAAAGAAGCAAGCAGGCAGGCAGGCAGGCAGGCAGGCAAGAAAGCAAGCAAGAAAGCAAGCAAGAAATCAAGCAAGAAATCAAGCAAGCAAAGAACCGACCAGCAAACAAAGGGACAATCCAACCAGCTGACCGCTGACCGACCGTCCGGCCAACCAGCCAGCCAACCAGCCAGCCAAACGCAACGAAGCAAACAAAATAGAGAGGCAGACCCAGGCAGGCAAGCAATCAATCAAGCCAGCAAGCAAACAACCAAAGCAAACAGACACACAAACAAACAAACAAAAAACAAACAAACAAAAAACAAACAAAATACAAACAAACAAACAAACAAACAAACAAACAAACAAACAAACAAACAAACACACAAACGAACAAACAAACAAACAAACAAACAAACAAAGAAAGAAAGAAAGAAAGAAATAAAGAAAGGAAGAAAGAAAGAAAGAAAGAAACAAACAAACAAACAAACACACAAACAAACAAACAAACAAACAAACAAACAAACAAACAGACAGACAGACAAGCAAGCAAGCAAGCAAGCAAGCAAGCAAGCAAGCAAGCAAGCAAGCAAGCAAGCAAGCAAGCAAGCAAGCAAGCAAGCAAGCAAGCAAGCAAAAAGTTGTGTTTGCGGTTGTGTTCGTGTTTGTGTTTGTGGTTGTGTTTGTGTTTGGGTTTGTGTTTGTGTTTGTGTTTGTGCTTGTGCTTGTGCTTGTGCTTGTGCTTGTGTTTGTGTTTGTGTGTGTGTGTTTGTGTTTGTGCTTGTGTTTGTGTTTGTGTGTGTTTGTGTGTTTGTGTTTGTGTTTGTGCTTGTGTGTGTTAGTGTTAACTGTTAGTGTTAGTGCTTGTGCTTGTGCTTGCGTTTGTGTGTGTGTTTGGGTTTGTGTTTGTGTGTGTTTGTGTTTGTGCTTGTGTTTGTGTGTTTGTGTGTTTGTGTTTGTGCTTGCGTTTGTGCTTGCGTGTGTGTCAGTGTTAGTGTTAGTGTTAGTGTTAGTGTTAGTGATTGTGTTTGCGCTTGTGCTTGTGTTTGTGTTTGTGTTTGGGTAGAACACAACCCGCCAACCAGCAAACAATCACAAATAAACAAGCTAAGAACACACACACACACACACTCGCGCCCCCCAACAATTAAAACAAGCAGCAACATAGGAAAACTAAACAAACTAACAAAACACACAAGCCACAAAAAAATGAAAACAAAGCAACATAGGAAAACAGATACCCAACTTGCACAGCTAAAGGCTCCCAAAAGGCGTCGACCTCTTGAAGCCCGAAGACTTGATCGAAGTCCACCAGCAAGCACATGACTCCTTAGTGAAATACTACCAAAAAACTCAAACTACATATATATATATATAATACAATCATGTATACTATGTATATATACATATATATATATATACATCTATATATATATATATACATATATAATACATACGTATAAAACAGGAATTCGCCAGCAACTTGGGGCCACAACCCGTTCTTCAGGGAATTTGGAGGGTAGACTTGCACCAGCTTGCCTTCATGTCGGGCTCATTTTGACTGCGAATACCTGCTAACTTGCCCCAGGAACCTGACAGGGTTGAGGTTGGTCACAAAAACGAGACTTTTGGGTACCTGACCATTAATTAAAAAAAAAGAAGACTGACAACCACTTACTAAGCGACTAAAAACTAAAGTGTTTCAAGTTTGCTGTACCTGGAGTCTCCTTCCACCCCTTAGAAATCGGGTGGCCCCTTCTTTTTTGAGTAATGACCCCATATTGCAAGGGTCACGACTCTAGGTAAGCGCAAGCGGCTCTGCTAGTGGAAGTGTGGTGCACGGAAGGACGTGTGGTGCAGTGGCGCACCCTTTCCCTTTTACCTCCCAGCGCTCCCCACAGACCTTAGAAAGACTGTAGTTTCAGGAACCCAAGCCCCGCCCCGAAGACCCCCCCAACCGGTATTTAGCCGCACTTGGACTTGCCCAATCGCTCACTTCCCAACTCCATAGCCTCACTCACTCCCTCGCTCGGCTCCCTTGCTCCCTCGCTCACAACCTGGCTTACTCGCTACCTCACTCCCTCGCTTACCCGGCTCCCAAGCTCGCTTGCTCCCTAGCGAACGCGTCGCTCGCTCTCGTTCTCTTTTCGTGCTTTTCTTAAAGCTTCGAGGACCTGCGCAGCCGCTTGCGGCATCTCCGGCAGGCTGGGGAATCGATGTAGGCTGTCAGTTTACTGGCTCGGAGAAACTACAGGACAGGCTGGCGATGAAGAAAGCCGCATACGGCACGCAAGCCATGCGGTCAAGGGTTTAGGTCAATGCGTGGAGCGTGGCTTTGCAACACCCACGTTCAGGCCACCACAGTTCTGGGGCGTGCCAGCGGGCTTTGTCAACGCCACCCTGAAGGCGTGTTGCCTGAGGATTCCCCACTTCTCGGTTGACGGCTATGAGTTGGAAGAACAGCCACGTGTCAGCTTGACATATGACGCATTGGTCTGCCAGGCAGAGTCCCTTGAGCCATGAGCTTTGCACGGCGCGCTCTGTCGGCTCTTGGGCTGCTCTGACGAGAAGTGCGCGTCTCGTGCACGGCATGGTGCCTTTTGCGCACTCCCAAGAGAGGCAGGAATCACGGCCAGCTTTCCACCAAGCACAACACTCCTTTTCAGGGCATTGTCTGCAACCCTTGTGCCGCAAGCTTCACAATTACTTTCCAGGCTAAAAAGCCCGGCGTGCGGTGGCCCCTGCAGGCAATGATATGCAGTCTCAGTGCTAGCTAAGGCTAGTGAAGCAATGTAGCACTCCTCCTACAAGCGCTGAAGCAAATGCTAGACCACGACTGCATCGTTGAAGTGAATTTCAACGTGCGCCAGACTTGACAGATTGCTGCAACACAAGGCCTCCGCGCAGCTCTGGGCAGAGCCAAGCTGGTTGGGTGCAACGGCGCTGTGCTTTGCTCAAGTCGGAACATGATGCCATCCGTGCCATCTGACACTCCTCCTGCAAGCTTGAACACATCCCATTCCAATCAACCTCTTGCGAGCTACCTTGCGCCCCCAGCCACTTGAGCAAACGGTAGACGACGACTTCTGCACCTCTCAACGCACGCAAGCCTCTGATTTCGGAAGCCGCGACCTGCGCCCTCGATCGCCAAGAGGTATCAACGCAAATCGCCGGGCCGGCAAGCTCTAGGAGGGGGGCTTAAGCCTGTTGTAAGGGCCATCGCTTTGGGCATACAGAAACTAGTGCGTGCGTCGGCAGAGCACATTTCGGTTAGCTTCACCTTCGCTAGTGCTCAAAATTGCCAAACAGTCAGACTCAGACAGTTTGGATGTGGTGCTGCCGGTGCTGCCGCAGGGAAAGGCTTCAAACGAAATGGCAACTGTCTCTGCTAACCACAGCAGCAATCTCAAACTGCGACTTGCGATGAAGTTCTGGGCACAGCCAAATCAAAGTGGCTGGGCGCAAGCGCCGCTGTGTGAGTTGCTCAAATCAATCCGCATTGAACAAGGTCATATATGTTGTCAACTTTGAATAAGACATTGGTGCGACCGCGCAAAGCAGCATTTAGGGAGATCTACGCTGCTATGTGGCACTTTCCGTGCAGTTGTGGCTTGTGTCGGCTAAGAACATTTCGGGATCGAAAGTGGGACATTCTGAGAAAGGGACAACGCAAGGAGTCGGCGCACTGGTAGTGATGCAAAAATTCTGAAGGCGAGCCCATCTGGCAACATCAGCTTCACAAAAATGGCGCACAGCCTATTGCGCGAGGTGTCTGCACCGCTACCTGGCACCGAGGATTGAGCCACCCCCCCGCTCCCAGTGCTCCCAGTGCTCCCAGTGCTCCACAGGACAGCCCATCAGCAGTGTGTTTCCTATCTGGAACTTCCAACAGGACTCGCTGGGGCATGTCTTTAGAAACGCGCCCCGCAACAGAATCGCTCCAACTGCGCCAGCGGATTTCCTGGCAACGTCAGCCAAGGAAAGCGTGCCCCGTCCACATCGCTGAGTGTAAGATCAGTCCGGCTCCAAAAGCCAAGGCAAGCGATGCTCAATATGGTTAGAAGGTTTCTATGGCGCACAAGTACAAAGATGTGGCGCTGCCGGTGCTGCAAGGCAAGGCATGCGCAAAAGGTGCGAGCACAACTGCAGGCCAGTACTGTGCAACAGCAGTCTCATGTCACGCTGTTGGTCCAACGGCTTTGTTTGCTCAAGTCGAAACATGCCATCCGTGCCATCTGACACTCCTCCTGCAAGCTTGAACACATCCCATTCCAATCAACCTCTTGCGAGCTACCTTGTTGTGAAAGCAGCCACGGGAGCTCATGCTAGACCAAGAAAGACTGCATCCAACGCGAAGCGAACCCGCCTTGAAAGCATAGTTGCTGGGAAGTTGCGGCTCCAACTCAAAAGGTGTGCGCGCATGCGCAGGCCGGCAGTACTGTGCCCGTCAACCACTGCAGCAATCTCAAGCTGCAACTTGCCATAAAGTTCCGGGCACAGCCAAAGTAGTTGGGCCCAAGCGCTGTGTGACCTGCTCAAGTCAAGCCGCATTGAACAACTGACTGAAACATGGGCGCGACCTCGCAAAGCAGCATTTAGGGAGAACTACGCCGCTATGCCACATGCTCCTGCCGGTATAGAATGCACTTTCCGCGCAGCTGTGACTTGTGCCGGCTGAGCACATTTCGGGGTCGAACATTCTAAACGGAACAAAGTTGCGGAGCTCCCGTCGCAACACAACGCATCCAACTCAACATGCGTAGGTCAGCAGGCCTGTGTCTACCAGCCGTGGCAGCAGTCCGAAGCTTAAGCTTGCCACCACGTTCTGGGCACAGCCAAGCTTGCTGGTCCGAACGGCCCCGTGCTTTTCTCAAGTCAATGCAACACGCCGCTCCTTATGCTGCCATCCAACACTCCTGCAGGGCTGAACATATTCCATTCCAAGCATGCGAGCGAAGACAGCCACTAGTCAAGTGTTCGACCAAGATTGCATCTTTGAATTGAACCCCAGCACGGGGCCAGCCTCGAAAGCGCGAGGGCTAAAAAGTTGCGGCGCTGCAAAACAGGTCATGCAACTCAAAAGGTGTGAGCGCATGCGCAGGTCAGTAGTACTGTGTCTACCAGCCGCAGCAGTCCGAAGCTGAAGATTTTCGTGAAGTTCTGGGCACAGCCAAACCGGTTGGGTCCAACGGCTTCGTGCTTTTCTCACGTCAACGCACTGTGATGCGCAGCAATCAGTTTATCCCTTGGAATCTTGAAGGTCCTGGCAGAAGAAACGTTGGCAACCTCCTTGGGAAGGGACCACTTTGCAAATTAGTTGGATGTGAATCCTGCAAAAAGAAGTGTGCTGTAGACATCAGCCTCCTGCATTCGGGCATGAATAAGGTCTTGGGCAAAGGAAAAGCAGCTGTTTGCCATGCCCAAACGAAATGAAGACCCAGCGTGCAACCTGCGCTGTCCATCCGAGTCCATGCTACTGACAGAAGCCTGAGCCTAATCCTACATCGAGTGCAACCAGCTGGGAGTCTGAAGAGCTCGCGGGTCTCAGCCTGTTCGCGGGGCTGAAGGCTCAAAGTCACGCCGGAATTGAGTCATTTTGATCAAGTCATGGGGCTGTCTTACTTTTGGTATCGCAGAAAGGGCGACTTTCAACAACTGGCGAAAACTGCAGGCGTGAAGCGGTTGCTTTTTGTGCAAAACCCCGCAGGCAAAGGAAATGGAACTCGAGGATTAGTAAACCCCTAGTTTATCGAACCCAGAGTTTGTTGCGAACGGGGAGAGCTATTCCAAATCACTGCCATCCGAGCAGCGCCTGTGCCCTCTGAATTGACGCCGCATGTCTGGCGTTATTGCGAAGCTTGCCCAAAATGCAATCTCCGAAGCCAGCCACCGAAGCGAACGCTTGAAGTGACTCCCAATACGCACCAAGAATGGACATTGTGCGGCGCCGTCGCTGCAAAACAAGGCATGCCACGACGTTCTGGGCGCAGCCAAGCTGGTTGGGCCCAACGTCCCCGTGCTTTTCTCAAGTCAAGGCAACACGCCGCTCCTTATGATGCCATCGAACACTCCTGCAAGCCTGAAAATATCCAATTCCAAGCGACCTCTTGCGAGCGAAGACAGCCACTAATCAAGACCAGAACTGCATCTCTGAATTGCACCCCAACGCGAGCCAGCCTTGAAAGCGTGAGGGCTAAAAAGTTGCGGCGCTGCAAAACAAGGCATGCAACTCAAAAGGTGTGAGCGCATCCGCAGGTCAGTAGTACCGCGTCTACCGGTCGCAGCAGCACTCCGAAGCTGAAGCTTGCAACGAAGTTCTGAGCGCAGCCAACCCGGTTGGGTCCAACGGCTCTGTGCTTCTCTTAAGTCAAGGCAACACGCCGCTCCTTATGCTGCCATCTAACACTCCTGCAAGCCTGAAAATATTCCATTCCAAGCATGCGAGCGAAGACAGCCACTAATCAAGCGCTAGACCAGAACTGCATCTCTGAATTGCACCCCAACGCGAGCCAGCCTCGAAAGCGTGAGGGCTAAAAAGTTGCGGCGCTGCGAAACAAGGCATCCAACTCAAAGGGTGTGAGCGCATGCGCAGGTCAGCAGTACTGCGACTACCAGCCGCAGCAGCAGTTCGAAGCTGAAGCTTGCCACGACGTTCTGGGCACGGCCAAGCTGGTTGGGTCCAACGGCTCTGTGCTTCTCTTAAATCAAGGCAACACGCCGCTCGTCATGATTAGAGGGGATCTAAACGGGATCAAATCAAACAAAGGCTATCATACCTGCGGCGGCGTTCTATGCAACATGCCTCAGTTTGCACAATGCTGGCTTCCCTCGTGCAATAAGGAGTCGATGAGGCGTGTTTCGGCAAGATGCAGCAGTTGGCAGCAGCGTGATACAACTTGCCGAAGTTTGCCTAATTTTGCTTTACCCTTGGCACCAGTTCATGTGATCCTGTTGAGGTCCCTCTGACACTTCTCGTGCAAGCCTGAAATCTCCCATTGCAAGCGACCTGCTGCGAGGGAAGCTGTGACGCTAGTGCCTGCGAGCACTCTGTTTGCCCGCAGTAGCTGTCCAAAGCTGAAGCTTGCCGCGGCGTTCTGGGCGCAGCAAGCTGGTTGCGCCCAAAGGCTCCGCGCAGCAAGCTGGTTGCGCCCAAAGGCTCCGCGCTTGGCTGTAATGAGAATCTCTCTTTCGGGCGAACTTGTTGGGAAGTCTGACTTGCGATGGTCAACGTTGGTGCCTGCGAGCACTGTGTTTGCCAGCCACAGTAGCTGTCCAAATTGCTCAAGACAAGGCAACATGGGGATTCTCAATTGCCCAAAACTGCAGTGTCCTCAGGAGAGATGCTACAAGTCACCCACTTCGACCGACATCAAACAGTATGCGGCTCCGAGCCCTGTAATTCAAGCGAGCACCGACGCGTTGCGGGAAGACAGTCAGGATTTCAGGGGCCATTGGGAATTTGTGACGCTTTCTGTTTCGGGCGAACTGGCCAGGAAGTCTGACTTGAGATGATCACTCAGTGCCAGCAAGTCTACGCCTTCTGTCATGGAAGCTGGTGAATGGTTGGCACCCAGCTCATTGAACCAGGTGAATGGTTGGCACACAGCTCAGGCGCCGGGCAAACATGTCTTGAACCAACAAGCACGCGCTTAATCAAGTGAAAGGGGCTCGTCTGGCTTCACTTCCGCATGTTGGGACCCACGACTCTCCAAGTCCAGGTATGGCATGTTCGAATGACAAAGGCTACTAAGCTAATACATCGGCTTGAGCAATCCAACGTCAACAGCCCCGAATCTTCGGGCGCCGAGTTTGCTTGCATGTACTTGACCGTGGGCTTAAGCATGATACAAACTGCATATAACAATTTGAATGGGGTGACGTTGGTGAAGGTTCATCACCAACCTCAGGCGAAGCCGCGACACAGGAACAGAAGATAATATCAACTACAATAATGACAATATATATATATATATTTTGGCTCCAGTCCCCCAGTGATTGAATTGTCACACATAATTACCCATATGTTAGACATTGTTTTTGAATATCCTAAAGAATCAAATGATATATGTAACGAGTATCCAGTTGTGAGGGGGCTTTGGGGGGGGGGGGGGTGGTCTGCAAGGTCAGTGGCAGATGGTGCGGGAGCACGTGGTAAATTACCTGCAACTTAAGATGGAACCCCAAAAAGCAGTTCTAGTGGACATGGGGATCCCCTTCGGTTTCCATGCTTTGACAATTCACTTCTAGCCCTTGAAACCAGGGTTGCTTGCCACTTAGCTAACCCCGAACTCCATCCAAGTACCCTGGTTTTCTTGTTGCCTTGGCAAATGGACCTGGGATGTCTCTCGAGAATCAAGATCCAATCAAGTCAGCATTGTTTACCACTGGGAAAGCACAAAATGGGGGCGGTGCCTTGTCTTGGCCCATCTGGGGCACACAGAAAATAATATGTTCTGTGTTCCTTCCATATTTAGTTTATGTATATATATATATACATATTATTGGGATCGAAGATCACCCCAAGGGTGCCTACTGCTCATACAAAGAAGCAACGCGAACTGTTTTGTCCATCACTGGATTCAGGGATATATCTGTTCCGCGCAATGGGATTCGCCCGAATTGGTTGAACAAGCATCAACCCCCTTTTCGGGGTCTCTCTCAAGTGCCAAATTGGTCAAAGTGGTCCGAAAGGTGATGTTTCAATCGCTGCGAAAAGAGGGGACTTTGGTTCTTGGGGCAAAGAATCCCAACCTTGAATCTCCAAAACACAAGAATCCCAACCTTGGTTCTCCAAAACACACACACAGACAGAGAAAGCAAACACAATCAACCCCCCCCCCCAATTGTTTGTCGCCGCGGCGCGTCCCGCCGCGCTGGCGCGCGTGAGCTGAATCCGTTGCCGGGCTTCCAAGGCAGAGTGGAGCAAGACACAGAGCCACAAAGGCTCGCTGCAAATCACCAGATCCGAAGATCTCAGAAAGACCTTAGGGGAAGCGTCCAAACGCCCAGGGAAACAGCTGGTGTTTGAAAAGAAGCCTTCATTTCAGAGAACCAGCCAACAGCCAATGGAACCACTTGGTTTTTGAAAAGAACGATGGGGAACCGAAGCCTCAGGAAAGGTTTGGAAGGAACCTTAGGGGTTCTGAAGACCGGTACCTTTATAGTGCTGTAAGTGGTTTTTAGGTAGTCTTGGCAACGATGTCCGTTTAGCAAAGGACCCTTGGTTCGGGTGTTTAACACCCAGGGCAACCTTGGTAAGGGAAAACAAACCAAACCAATATTTGTATGAATGACAAAACACTCACTTGAGTTGATTGGCCACAGAAAGTAAGCCGTTGCTTGGTGCCACTAAAATGGTCCAAGCCCGAAAAGTGTCTAAAGTCCGAAACGGAACTCGGGAAGTGAGAAATCGGCAAGAAAGCAACCTTCATGGTTGACAGAACCCAAGACCTCCTGCCCGAAAGGCTCAACAACTCAAAAAGGTCGACGCTTCTTAGAGGGCGTTCAGAGCGCCTTCCTGAAAAGGAGGCCCGAATGTCTCTCCTTATGTTGCTCCATTCGACCGACCAGCGAAAAGGTAGAAACATGGCAAACGCTGGTAAGCAAGGTCGAATTTGCACTGGCGCCCTGTTCTTGCCGGTGGTGTTCGAACGGGCCAAGACACGCAAATAACGAAAACAAAAGTTCCACTGCGCAGTCAAGAGACATCTCTCCTTGCAAACTCCCTCAGAGCCCAAACTGCTCCTGAGATCGTCCATGACCTGAGCTGAGATTTGTGGCCAGTTTCAACTTTTTGGCTCACTGAAACGATGCCAACAGAGCTGAAAAGCTTGAAGCTAAAGTTCAACCCCTGACACACAGTGATGGAGGACTGCCCCACTTTAGTTGGTAAAAGGAAACTAAAAGGAAGTCAACCGTTTAAGGATTGCAATCATAGGTGTCCTTTTTGGAAAAATAGATGGCCCTGGTAGATGATTGAACCACCAGGTAAACCAGGAATCGTCCTCTATTTGTTCACCAAACCAACCAAAAAAAAGGACACCTACGACTGCGATTCTATGAGAAACGCAACTTTCTGGGGGACACTTCCGCAGTCTTTCCAGCTTTTGAAAAGAACGATGGTTGAAAACAATGGGGAATCACCTACGGTGGATGGACGAAATCCTCCACCACTTTGAAACCATGGGACACCATTGTTTGGTGGTATTTACAGCGGAACGGAATCGTCATTCCAGGGTTTCTTAGGTGGTGCGATTTCAGGATTTCGTCCATCCACAGTATGACTGCAATTCTACGAGAAACGCGACTTGCCAACGGCCCGGCAAGTCGCGGCTGGGCGCTCTTGTCGCGGCCCGCGGATTCGGTGAGCGGCTGACCCCAGAAGGCGTCCCAAGTGATGCGCAGGGATGACCTTGGCAGATGACCGGGAACTGAAATGATAAGCAGTGGGTGACAAACAAACATTGTTGCCTAATTTGCCCTCAAAATGGGTCAAATGTTGGCATTCCCTGCATGGACTGTCTGGGTATAGGTATTTAATGGTTCCCGGACCCGACATCATGGTGGGGATTTATGTCCACTTTTCAGCAATAGTTGGAACATGCGGAGGGTGTCTAAACCACGTTTAGGCATGATAGGAGAACTTATCGTCAGGCCTTTATATTAAATTAGGTGACCCGTTGAATGGATTTTAACATAATATGGGTTCCTTTCGGATGCGGAGGAAAAACAAACAAACAAAATACGATTGCACTTTGCTGCAAGCTCACAAACCCTGTGTGTATGTTTCCTGAGAAAAGAAAACAAAAACATTTGGTTTTCATTTTAAAGCAATCACACTGGACTTCACTTGCTGAACAAACAAACATTCTGTGTTGACTAAAAACAACAATTGGGTCTTCATGAATCATTCTTCTGGCATACGGACCTTTTCATATTGTGGTTCCTTGACGTAATGTGGCCCAACCACAAAATGAGGTCTGGCCGATTTCGAGCAAGTCAAGCGTCCGCAGGGACCCAGAGTCGGCGAGTCCACGCAGCTGCCACATGTAGGTGAAGAAATGCCCGGCCTCCAATCCTCGGGGATGAAAACGACTTGGATGTTCAACCCACCGTATGGTAAGGTAATGGGTCAACTCCCCTGGAGATTTCAATGCTAAGGAGTTTCTAGGCGTTCTGGTTCTCAAGGCGTTTCAGGCGTTTAGGGTGTTGTAGGTGTTTTGCATATGTGCTCCGTATTTGCGATTGACTTTTGAATCAACAGGGTGCCCGTTGTTCTTCTTTGACTCCAAAGTAGACCGACGCTGGCTCAGTAGACGACCACCACATCACATGGGTTGTCTCAAGACGATTGAGATCGAACTAAGAGCCCCGCAATCTAAAAAACAAACTAGTGTAAGAAGACAATGAAGTACATGGGCAAAGTCAGATGGCGGACCACACAAGAATTTGTGTTCACACCTTTTCCAACGTGAAAGGTTACAACGCCTTTAACCAAATACACATTTCCTTCAATACTGCCCAAATTTGGTTCATGCTGTGCCAGACTTCTACTTGCGAAAGCCGTACTGCAAAACAGAAGCCCATTTTTTGGGCTGCACCCAATCTTCAGGAACCAAATGGGGCGCGCAAAGCTTCCAGTTTCCACTACGTATGGTAGGTAACCAGAACTTTTTGCGTCTAAATTATACATGATAGTCTCTTCTGGTCAGTTCCTTATTTACTTTGGGTGACCCTAAATTGGCTTCCATCTATATCACATGGGCTCACACATGGGCTCAACAAATGCTACACGCACGACTGTCCTTTGGTGCAAGCAAGCCGTTTATTAAAACGGGTCTCTCATTACTGTCGATTCTGGAATCCTTATACAAGGGGGGCGGCCCCTTTCGGGTTTTTTAGGGTTCCTGAAGGAGCCTTCGGGAATCCCTCCTGGACCACCCCCGTCTTACGGATTCCCGAAGAAGAGATTGGAAGCAGCGGGATCAGCGGGACAGTCCATGGGCCATTTGAAAGTCCATCGGCTCACTCCGCTCGAGCTCACCGCTGCGGAAGCCGACGCCAGGTTGTCCAGATTGCTCGGGCCGTGCTCCCCGACCAAGGCGGTACGGAGGATTCTTTCCTGGTCCAATAGTGCAACTGACTCCCTCCCCACCCCAAAAACAAGGAGATGCTTATTGGTACGTTTGCTTCGCACCGTATTGGACCACCCGTCAAACTAGGTTGGTCCAACTGATCATTTGTTGTTGATTCCTCGGGGAGCTATGTTATTTGCTTTCTCAAACTAGGACTCCGTTTCGGGCCAAGCGAGCGGAAACAACGCAAGATCAGAATCACCCCTCGCACCTGCCGGCAACACGCGTCAATTTTATCGCGAAAAAGAATCCAGAGACGCTCCGCGGTTTGAGACTCGGGCCAGGTAAAAGGAAATCAAAGGATCTGTAATATCTTTCTGCATTGATCCTTTGGAGGTTCGAGAGCAATGCTGGCAATTGTTCCTTTTCGGGGTCAAAGATAAACCCTGCAGGCTGTGTGCCCAAGGGTCCATCGGAAAAATGTGAGCGATCTTGGGTCCCCTATACAAAGATCACCGCGTGATCGTGCGGAACTATCACGGTCAAAAAGTCAAGCGGTTCAAGGTCGAAACAAAGAGCAATCAAGTCAAAGGGCCAAATGAAAAGTGGGTTGTGTCAAAATAGGAATCTGAACCCCCTATTTTGATGGTTTCCCTTCTGCTTGCCTTGCAATCAACCCAAAAGGATTACCCTAAAGAATCCCTCCCTTTTGGCCAGGTGAAAATTCCTTTGTGGTGTTTTAGGAGAAATAAGGTGAAAGCGGCATCCTCAAAATACCCAACCAACATGTTGCATAGTTTCCAAACCCCCCCTCCTGAACCCCAACATGTGGCCTTGTTTTGTGGAGCGGGGGGGGGGGGTTCAGAGGGGGGGGGGGGTTGTGCCATCTATGAATCTTCTTCTCTTAAGTTAGAATAAGGGTAACCTTTTTTTCTGTAGTCGATTTTAGTAGGGGAACCCTCCCCCAAAAAAGGGTAAAAGGGCCTACTGGGGCCTAGCTTTGCATCAACCCCAACATGGTGTGGTGGGTTCACCACTTTGCCCTGCCTCCAGGCGCCGACTCTGCACCATGCGATGACCAGGCCAGTCTTCCTGCCTCAGCGTGCCAAGCTGGGCCTTGTGGTTGGTTGGTTGGTCGGTTGGTCGGTTGGTAGGTAGGTTGGTTGGTTGGTTGCTTGCTGGCTGGCTTGCTTGGTTTGTGGTGCCTCGGTTTATTGGCTTAGCTGTGGCTGCAACACACCGGTTGAGCAGTGAATATGCCATGTGTTTTGTCAGTTGCATGTGCCAAAACAGTCTCCTGATGTCATAATGATCGGCACGATGCAAAAATAAACGGTAGTTGTGGTTTGTTGGTGTGGTTTAGGGCATGTATGAACCCAAGGAAGTGAATTTCCAGTTTGTTGCACAGCTCACCCCACTGGTTCAGAATTGCCATGGGCTCCTAAATGGACGTGTACAATCAGTTTTTGACGACAGAAGACCCGTTCAGCTGGGAACGACAATGTGGGAGCCTCACGTAATGTTGAGGGGAGCGCATCCGCCCAAGTTGGTGCCCTTTTGCAAATTGTGGATTATATTTTCTCAGAGTCACTTATTCATCGTTGACCTATGGTTTACAAGGTACAATTGGCAAACGGCATCTTAGATCTGGCACCCAGGTGATGTGTTTAGGCACTCTACGAAACAACCAGGACACATTTAACAGAATCGTGGAGAGCAACTGAAAAACATCCCTCCAAACTCCAAATTTATGAAGTTAATAATCAGCCTGGCGCATGAACGAGGAGGGTTTCATTCATTCGTCCCCACTGAAACGTCAACTGGGAACACGGATTCGACGAGGTTCCTAATTATGGTGGATTGGCTTAACCCCTGGACTCACTCAAGCAAATCGAGCTTTATTTGGCCGGAAAAAGCGCGGAAAGCCCCTCAATATACAATTTCCCGCCTAGGGGTAATGTCAACCCCGAATTCAGATTAGCAAGGGGTGTTGCTTCCAACAGTGAAGGTTCCCCTCCAAACGGACCGGACACCCCCTATTCATGCACCAGGGGATTCTCAACCCTATACCAGTCCCAGCTGCCAGGATCTGAGCCGCAGCTCGGGAGGGGCATGATCCGCGATGAAGTCCGCGTAGCGCGGGTAGAACTTGGGATCTTCCAAATTCAAGTTCACCGCCAGGTCAAATGAGGAGACGTTCCAGTTGGAAGACTCCGAATGATCGAAGTGCGAGTCCAGAATACTCACCTGAAAGCCCAAAATCGAATACACGCAAAACAGGCGGAACTGGGTTGCAAGAGTTTGCCGATGTTGTGATGTCAAAGGCGAACCCACCCTAAAATGGAAACAATGGTGAGCACACCAAGCTAACTGATTTGGCCCTGTTTTTGGTGGATGATGTTGAAGGCACACCCAACCAAAGAAGCAGAACACCTTCTTGTTTGGATCTTCGCCCGAGGAAGGCAACACACCAGAACGAAAAAAGAAGAAACACATAAACATGCCCAAGGCCAGCCCGCCCTTACCCCCTTGCCCCCCCCTCCCCCCCGGCCTGAAGAACCCGGGGCCCGGGATGTTCTCTGAAAAAGTATCTTTGCCTTCCAACCAATTGCAGGGCACCAAACCCATCTTCCGACCCCTAGCCTTCAAGATGCTCTGAATCATTTACACAGGCCTTGCCCAACAAAAGCACCAAACAGGGTAGAACCACCCTGCTGTCACTCTCAATTCAGCTCCGACGCCAATCGGTGCCTACTGCTGGGTGAATTATAATATTTCACCAGCCTGAAATCAGGTGGTGGGGGCAATTCCCAACAACAACTCCGTCCTGACTGGCAACCCAGCACCTGGATCCTGGACTTCGACCTTCGCCCTGTGTCCGGCGCTAGGACCTGTCAGGCCCTCAAACCCCCTGCACAACACCTTGACAACCATACTGCGGACGAAATCCATTCACCACGGTTCCCAAACCCTGGAATGATTCGATTGCCCTGTACAATGCCAACAAAAGTTATGGTTTCAAGCCATGGTTTCTCAACGGTGTTGCGATTTGTCTAGATTTCGCAACCATCCATACTGTGGATGGACAAATTCCCTGCAGCACATTGAATCCATGGTTGAAACCATGCCGTTCATCGGTATCTACAGGGCAATCGAATCCTTCCGTTGGGTTTCTCAGATGGTGGGTTTTCTGGATTTCGTCCATCCACCAATGTGACTTGAGCTGGACTTCGCAGCTGCCCCACCCAGACGCGCCCCGCCAAGCCGGGGCACAAAGGCGAAGAGCATGCTCTCCAGGTTCAGCCTTGCGGCATCCTCTGGCAGGTTGGACCGCATCTTGTGCACCAAGAAGATCACCTCAGCGGCTGAAGAGCTCCATAAAAAAAGAAAAACAAAAAGAAGAAACAAAACGGGGGGGGAGGGCACCTTCAGTTGGTTCAGTGAGGGAAACTCAAGCTCAACCAGTGAATACCAAGATGCTGACCAACACTTCGTTTGAAGTTTCAACTAGGGAAACTCAAGCTCAACAAAGGACGCCCTGGTAAACGTGTCGATCCGGGTTCAACTTAAAACTCAACTTCTCCATTGAAAGAAGCCCCCGCCACCTAGGGAAACTCGAACTCCAAGTGGAACCCCCTTCCGCTGCTTGTCAGTTTGAACCCTCCAACATGAGAAAACGACACCGTGCCAACATTTGGTTGTCGTTTGACCCCTCTGCACCAAGCTTCGCTTTTCAAGGGTCTAATGGAAAATCCGAGCTGTTTCGACCAAAAAGTTCAAGTCCACAAATCCAACCAAATAGCCATAACAATTGGGGTCAATATTGCCAAATGAAGCTAACATGGAAACTCCTCTCGAAAAGAAACCTAAAAGAGGTTCGAACCTTGGGCTGGGCCACGTACTGCACCAGCGCGAAGCCCACCGGGCACTGCATGAAGCCTGACTGCGCCAGGGATTTAAACGGTAGGGAAAGCTTCAAGGGGTCTCAGGGTTTCGTGAGGTTTCGTGAGGTTTCGTGAGGTTTCGTGAGGTTTCGTGAGGTTTCTTCGGGTTTCTTCGTTTTTGTTGAGGTCTCTTGAGGTTTCCTAGGCTTTCTGATGGATTCTTGCGGATTCTTGGGGTTTCCCAGTTGCCACTATCGTTGGTCACCAGATATGTTTCCTCTGGTTCTTGGTGTAGTGGCCTGCCTCCTGGAAGCAGTGGGTGAAAGGGGCGAAACACATACATTATCATGGCGGAACTTGGTTTTAAGGTACCCCACTATATCACAAGCCTCGTAGTAAACCAGCAATCCCAGTCAAGAACCCCTAGAAAGTACCTTTAAGGGGGCCGGAGTTGTCATCTTAGTTGGCCACATAGCTCTGACCACTGCTTCCAAATTAAGCCAGCATAGTAAACCAAGTAGTCTTTTACCACGCCTCTAGTCTCCCCTGGTTGCCTACTAACGTGATGAATAAGCACAGGCTATCTCAAAACCCGGGAGAAGTCAAACCTTCTACTTTCGGCTCTAAATTAGGGTTCCTCATACACGTGACATGCCTCCCCACCTCCCCCCCCCCAAAAAAAAAACAAAACAAAATAAATTAATCTTGAAATGGCCCAAAAGGAAATATTCTGTTTACATCACGCAACAAGGGACATACTGTGGATGTACACCACTTTGAAACCATGGGACACCACTGTTCGTTGGTATTTACAGGGGAATAATCATTCCAGAATTCTGCGTGCATTCCTGAGTGGATTGGCCCCAAAAATAATTCTGAACTCTTTGTTGACGACAATGAGCACAAGACAAGACACACATTGACAGAATTGTAATTTCACAGCTGTATCATGCTTCCAACAAAACAAACATTCGATTTTCGCGCATCGCCTCAAGACAGAACAAGTGCTTGGTTTAATGGGGAACCCTGACAATTGCCGGTTAAACCCCTCAAAAAGCAAGACAGCACAACGACTGTAACAGTGCTTCCAGCTACCACTAAAAGTAGATATCAATGATAACTTTGTAGTGCACCACCAAGAGGTGGAAAGCCTTGGTTGCCTACTAAGTACACAGCAGCACTGCGAAGATTAAGTCACAACAACTAAGGAACACCCAAAACAGTCCGTCCTCTTTACAGCACTTCCCCACCAGAAAACAAGGTTCCCGAAAAGCAAACCAACGAAGCAAACGCACCCCCAAATACTACAGTTCCTCTTGAAAACCCACAGCAACACATGCGAAGTCCGACAGCTCGGGTCAAGGCACCCACCAAGTTGTCCGAGGACCATGCAGGCGGCTTTCCGAAGACGGCTTGCCACTGAGACTTCTGAAGGGCCGTCACCCAATCCTCGGACGGGTCCCTCAGGGGCTGATCCAGGGATGGCCAACAGCATAGTTCAGCCTGTCAAGTTGGGGGGGGACACCCAAAACACGTGACACCTTCTACTTGGTCCAAGCATCCTCAAAGGGTATCTTAAGAACCCCTTGAGATTTGGGGCACAATAGCTATTGTGTCCTCAACATGGGATGTTGGCGAGCAACCCCCAACCGCCTCGTGTGCCCTCATCCAATTTGAAGTAGACGTCGGCGACGGTTGCCTTTTCGGTCTCCTATTACATACCAACACAAAGCCGGCCCCCCCCCCCAACAAAAAACAACAACAACATATAAAAAAGCAGTTTGTAGTAAGTGGTTTCCTGTTGGTTCCCCTTCAAACCCAACCAAGAAGGGGTGGTTCTCCAGATTGAAAATCACTTTAGCTCTCATGCCACATATTTACCCCCTCCCCCCACCAAAACAGAAAACAACCACACACACACACAGTTGGCAAGCAGGCAATGCCCATGTGGATATGGTCTTCTTGTACGCTTGGCTATATACTTGTTAAGTGGCTTGAACATCCAAGCAACTTGTTTCGGAACTCCCCCAACCCCGGCCGTTCCAATTCCAATTCCAATTCAAATTCCCAGCGGCGCGCTTCTCCCGGACCTGAGTGAAGTACCCGGAGCCGTCCGCGTGCCACTCCCCCGCCAGCGGCACCACCACGCGGCCGTCGAACCCGCCGGCCTCCTCCATGCCGTCGACAAAGTCCTCCCAGGCCTTCCACTTGACGTAGGCCATGGATCCTGGCAAACTTGAGGCTCACTCCTCAGATGCCCAGTGGCCATGGGAAATACAGGGCACCCTTTTCTGTGGTTGAGTTTAAAGGGACACCCTTCCCAAAAAAAGAAAGAAGGGCACCACTGGGCAGCGAGTGGATGGGCCGAAAGAGTAACCAAAGCTTTTTGTGTGCCACTGGGTCCTCCAGTAGAGAGGTTAGAAAAAGGGTACCCTTTTTTTGTAGTCAATTTTAGTAGGGGAACCCTCCCCCCAAAAAGGGTAACATTGGCACTACTGGGGGACCTAGGCCAATAAACTGGTCTTCAAAAAGCTCAAAGTCCAGGAACTCAGGAGGTGAGTGGCATGACAGTTGTCTACCCCAACCACTGGAAAGAACTGGCAAGGCGGCCGCACCGAATTCCAGCTGAGACTGTTCCTTACTCAGCTTCACTTACCTGGGTGTAGGGGTCCATGACCATCCCTAGCCACCCCAAGTAACAGGGTGGTCTGCAGTTCATGGGGGAACCCAAGACCCATAGAAGCTGGCGGGAGTTCAAGGAAGTGGTTTGGGAAGTCTGCCGAGCTTTGTGGATGGCGTTCAAGGAAACCGAAACGAGCCAACCACGTGGCAGGGTCACACAACCTTTGAGACAATGGCAGTGTCCGGCGGCTGTTTTCGAATCTGTTATTTGGGTCATCTTGGGCCCCACCCCTCCACAATAAAACCATTGCCCCATTTGATGGGAAACTAATGGATGCAACATATTGGGTCTGAAAAGATTTAACAACTATGCCTTTCTAGGGGATCCGTTAGGAAGCAGCCTTATGACTGATCCCCTCTTGGTGTGGTTGGCAAAATTAAACATAGGCTAGATCCTCCAGTGGAGAAGTTAGAATAAGGGTACCCTTCTTCTTTCTCTAGTCTGTTTTAGTAGGGGAACCCTCCCAACCAAAAAAGAAACGGTGAGAAAGGGCACCTAGCTGGGGGACCTAGTAGGCCACATCCACCCAGCCCCGTCCTGTCTCCGGGGACAAGGGCCCCGTCCGGCTGAAGGCGTCCCGGAACCGCTGCCAGAAAAGGTCCCCGTTGTCCTCACGCCCACTCCACGGGTCCCCCGGAAACCCCCCGGAAACCCCCCGGAAACCCCCCGGAAACCCCAGCCATTTCCCCTTAAGCTTTTGGACCGACATGGGGAAACACAACTCAAGAGTTCCGATGGATTTGACAAGTGAGTAATATGCCAAACCATCGGAAACATGGCTATGACCTGCTTGCTAAGTGGGGTGAACATCCAAGCAAAACCCTCCCGCAACAGTTACCCGCCTGCAAATTAACATGGAACGTGACAACGGGGTCACAAAGTGTCCAGGGTTCATATGCAGCCCCAAGCACCCGCTAGCTACCCTAGCACTTGCCCAAAGAGTTAGAAGTGAATGAAGAAAGGGAAGGCCCCACTCACTTTGCCTGGGCTGAAGCAGCCACTCAAATCAGCAAGCGTCGCAATCCAGGAAGGCGCCGGCCCTCCCGGGATCGATCTCCCCGCTTTCCATGGAGTTGGCGACCCCAGTCTCCAGCGCATGCTGGGCCTGGTGAAGCCGCAGAAGGCAACAGATGAGCCATCAGCTGCAAGACATGAGTGACTGGGTGGGAGCCCAAGACTGGGTGGGCAGGGCTGAAGGCCAGCCTCCAGCTCGGCAGTCACACGCCACTCGTGCTGCCATCTGGCCAGCAGCTCCAGAGCGGGCTCCTGCGCTGCCCCAGACCCGGGGATTTGGTGTGGACTTCCGTGGGCGAAGCGGGCGCTCCCTCCAAAAGGGACCCATTCCGGGCAAACCTACATTGGGTGTCTCTTTTTTTGACGGTACCATTTTTGGGGTGGTTTTGAAGGGTCCCCTGAAAAAGACACCCAACAGTTCGTTTGGCGGTCGGTTTTTAAAGAGACTGTCCCCTAGATCTTGACTTGCTTGGTTCCCAAAGGGAAAGCAACCACAATTCCATTCAAACCCTCGGGGTTGTTTCTCAAACAGGGACTCAGGACTTGTCAAACGGTTCAAACCAAATTGAGGACACCCCACCCATTCTACCCAAAACAACCGCTACTATTGAATGTCACCCTCACTTCCTGGGTGGATTTGCCAAAGCAAACGTGCTAGTTTCGCTCTCACTAAAATGGCCTTCTCCAAACAAGTCCAGGAACTGGGGGGGGACGGGGTCTTCACGGAGCCTTGTTCCTATGTTCGCTTGATTCTCAGAGGACTGCAACTAAGCCAATTGTACATGCCACTGTGAAGTCCGCGGTTTCCTGGTTCTCCACTTGAAAAAAGCCAATCAAGCAAAAGAGACTGTGACACCCACAGCTTCTTTGTAAAACACTTCCCTACTTCTCAATTCCTGAGTGGATTGGCCAGAAAAAAGTCTATCCTTGTTGGCCACGAAAATTGGTCCTCCCACAAGGTTCAAAGTCCAGGAACTAGCTGACTGGTTCCTAAGGCGGCGAAAGAACAAGCCCAAACCGCGGCTCTGAGTCACAAAAACGTCCCTTGGGCTTTGTGGGAAAGCTCGGGATGACTTGCTCGGGTCTTCAGCCACGTTGCTAAGTGGCTAGCAGTCGAGGTCAACCCATCAGGGGGGTTATGACCTAGGTAACCAATGACTTACTAAGCAAGGCAAATAATTTTAAGCTGATTTTCACGCACCCGCCTCCGCCTCCGCGCCCGAAACACCCGCAAGGCCCGCGAAAACGCGGGCAGCGGAGTGCCAGACCATGGCCCGAAACACATGGCCACTTGGACTCCCTCTCTGAGTAAATCAACCGTGTTTTTTTGGCCGAAGCAAGAAGGCCCTGTCTTTGGTGTCTGGCTTCGCTATTTTGGTGGGTGAGCAGCTCTTTGTTGGATTGACCCAACTTGTTTCTTGGTTGACCTAGCTTTTGCTGGTTGATGCCAACAGAAAACCCACTCAAACAGGAACGTGCACCTCTCTATTTATTGATGTAGAAGGGAACACCATTCAACAGAACAGGAAAAAAGGATATTAGCCCGCTCGACACCAGGACAGTTTTCTTCAGATAATAACCAAGCTGTGATTACACGCTGAGGCATCATGAGGAAAAACAAAAAAACGATGCGACCACAAGCGCTTGGCAACTGCAGGATGCAGTCACATGGGTGCAGAACAGGATGAGCAAGGCGCGGCATCGATCGAGTTCATTCTGAACTGGGACATCGTGTCCATATAGGAACCCCTGTGATGATTCATTTGTGCTGGAACCAAAACGACAACGGTGCAAGACTATGCTTTTAACGCAAGCAGCCCAAATGAAATCCACACCCAATCCGACATATATTTATGCTGGATCACGTTTGCAAACCCCGCGTGGTTTCCTCAAATGCAAAAACATCCCCTCCAAAAACCCTCAAGCCAGCGTTGGCAGACCCACTCCGATTTTGCCACGGACTCCTTGAGCCGTTAGCGAAAGGAGCGAAGATGTGAGGTTGCAACAATGGAGCCTTCCTGACTCTTTGTACCTGGAGTCTCCATGACCCTTCAACCATGGGGTCATGGACCAATTTGTAAAGGGTCCTGGAGACTCCAGCTAGAGGCGTGGAAAGCCAGTTGAGAAACCCACAGGTCTCTCCGGAGCGCTTCGGTCAGACAATCGCACACCAGCCTGTTGATACAGGTAGCTTCCTTTTGTGGTGTTGTTTTTTTGGAGGCTCCAAATTTGAAGGCGAGTCCCAAAACAAAGCACTCGACACCCAGGTGAACAGATAGAGCCCCACAAAGGCCTTGACGCTTGGAGGGGTGCTCGAATCTTCCCCCCGACCTCTTGGATCGAATTGGGTTGGCAAACGGAAACAACAAGAACCCCAACAATCATCGCCAGGAAGAGCTGCCCCTTGAGCCGCCCCAAACCAAAATCTGGCGACCTGGTCGTTCAAAGAGAGGCCGAACAAGAAAGCGATCATTTCGGGACTGGGCGGGGGTGTTTGTTTCTGAAGGCTCCCGGTTTTGGAGTGGTTTCACAGGGAAACCAACCAAACAAAATGATGCCTGTTGGGAGGGTGCCCCGATTTTTAGACACAACCACACACCCACTTTGACACATACTGGATGTTCATCATGTTGACACATACTTCTTGTGTGAACAACCTTTCCAATCCTCAGCATGGTAGCAAACTACTTTGCTTTCTAGGGCTTACTACAAATGAACAGAACCAACTGATCCAGGGTTGTGGGATCAAGGGCTTTATCCTCACTTCTCTGATAGGGAATTCCCCTCTTTGTATGGGGGGGTTTAGTCTTTGGGAAGCCCTTTTTGTTGTATCACAGAAGTGGATTCCATTTCCCACAGCCTTGAACCAATCTGAACACCTAAAAACACATGGCGTCCCCCCTTGGGCCTTCGGGCGGTCACTGGCACTGTTGGCACGGTCCCAAGATGCCTGCAGAAGGTGGCGCTTGTCCGGGGGCAAGGTCTCCTTGGCGAGTCTGGGACAAGTCGCCCACAAAAACGGCCAGAAAATCAGAGTGTTCATAGTCCAGCAACTTCCAAGGGCTTTCCATTTGCCGGCAAAAAAACACAAGAAAGAAAGGTACTGGGGTAGCATTTTACAACGCCAAGACCTGAAATCAGAATTGGCCCAAGTAAAGGAGGTTCATCATGGAGAGCGCGTTCTGCCCTCAGATGAGCTCGCCATAGAATTGGCAAATGCTTAGTCAAGCCTAAGCTAGAAAATTTGTTTGGAGGAGACCCCAGTGGCAAAAAATGGTCTTAGAGGCCACAGTTCAAGTGATCCTCTTTTGGACGTCTGCAATGACCATAGCAGCAAGCGAGGTTCTTTCCCCTTGTCTTTATATACATGAGAGTTGCATTTGTTCACCCACTGTCAGCTATCAGCATTGGATTTGGTTGCGTTGTCCCCAAAAAAAACAATGGAGGCCTTCCAGCTACCATGGCAAGCAAAGAAAGCCATGCATAAAATTACCTCAAGGAGAGAAATCCTGGTTACCTATAGCGGAGAAGCGCCGGGAAAGACTGGACCAAGTATATATATTTATACATAATACATGCATTTGAAGGTTAAGGGATATTGAGGGCGATGTCCTTCCTTTTGGAAGGGTCTGCAAAGGGAAGCCAAATGAAAACCACCCATTCTTGGGTGTCCCCAATCTGAACACAAGCCCACATCTAACTCATGATACTTATTCCCGTGCTGCCAAGGAAACATATTTCCTTTGGAATAATCCGGATCACATTTATCAAAGCAATTCCCTCACGAACTACTCCAAGAGCCAAAGGCGGTTCCCTCTATCTCAGGGAGTAAGACTAAAACAACAAAACTTACCAAAAGGATATGCTGTGGATGGTTGCGAAATCCATTTGGCACCAAAGAAACCCTGGAATGATAAGATTCCCCTGTAATCCCAACAAACGTTCTGGTTTCCATGGTTTCCTTTCGTGGTGCGAAATGGATTTCGCATTTCCATCCACAGTACTAAGGCCAACCAGGGTCTACCTCCGTCGACCACGGATGGTTCCCTCTAGCTATACTGCCTCCACCGGCTTTGGAAGCTCAACGGATTGTGTGGGGATCCCTAGCCCCCCGAAAGTGCTGGAGTTTGCAGGTAAGAATCGAGCTACTTAAACCCTCAAACAAATCCACCCTTAAGAATGGGTTGTTGCAACCCAAATGATGGTTTATGAAGTCCACTTTTCCCCAACAATGGGTTGTTGCAGCCCAAAATGAGGGTTCATGAATCCCCGTATTTTCGTGGGTTCTCTCGGATCGACCTCGGTACACTCCTGGACTCCTCTCCCCAAGGCTTCTCCTCCAAGAGCTCTCGCCAAAGATCCTCCAGGTTCTCCGGCGGCATCAGCTCCTCGACTCAAACCGCCGCCCTCCCACTGCAGACGATCAAACAGGGATCCGGATGCATTATACACCTGGACATTGCCTTGTAAATGGTGGTTTCCCTTTATTTTGGTGGAACAAGCCATGTTTCAAGTGGGCAACATGTATCTTTTAAGGAGCCCTGTCAAACGAAGCGAGTTTTCACATGCTGCCCTGCGGGAAAATGCAGGCCCACCAAACCAAGCACGCCAGAGGTTCACATGCCCTGGTAACCGAAAATGAAGAAAATGAAGGCCGACCAACAAAAGGCCAACAAAGCAAAAGGCGAACCAAGTGGGGAAAAACGAGGGTTAACCAAAGAAAAGGAAGTCCAATGCTAGCCAGAGATACACTTCCACCAAACCTACGGGTCCACTGCCCAGGGCCCCAGGCTCCCAGCCGCATGCCGATGGTACGTGGGGACCGAAGCCATGTCAGTGGCTCTCCCCAGGCCATGGGTCTTAAGATCCAAATCCCGTACCCCCAGTAAACATCCGATTCAATCCAACCACTAAAATCGAAGGCCTAAAATCCAACCACTAAAATCGAAAGCCTAAAATCCAACCACTAAAATCCCGCCTAAACTGCGTGCCCCCAAAAAAAACCCAAGATGGGATCCCAAAACGGTTGTGACCACCGCCAGTTCAGTCGGGCTGCTGAACTGGATCTTCACTTCCGACGCGTTGCTTTTGCTTCCAGCTACGCGGTCTGAATGTTTGGCTGCTTGTCTCGGTGGCGACATCTGCGAAGCCCTGCTAAAAGTGACTAGCTTTTGGTGGTTTCTAATTTGGAAAACCAATGAGTTGGCAAAAAGTTAAAGTCCTAACAACCAAGCAAAATGCACCAAAGCTTGTTTGTGTGAGAGGTAAGGCCCAAGAAGCATCATGGCACGGGCTTTGGCTGCCAGCAAAAAAGGGATCATTGTGTCGTACCTTCTCATGATGTCACTAGTCTGACCCATTTTGACCCACCCAAGTACATCCTTATCTCGGCCCACATCTGGGGTACTCCAAACATCATATTTTTGACTCTGGTACATATGTAGTCCACCCTCACAAAAAAACAACTCGTTTGAGAGGAGGCGCCTCTGATGCCATATACCCTGCCCATATACTATCCGGGGGCCCGGTGTCGCCCACGAAAGAGAGGATTCCCACCAAAAGGGCACACCGATCAAAATCAGCCGGAGGTTTGGGGTTTGCATTGAGCTCATCCGGTACATATCCCTTCTTCAAAACCTAGAATGAAATGGAGACCCCAGCCATATACCAAAACCCTCAAGACTACCCATCAAAAGGGGAGTTCACCCCAAAATTGTAGGGCCGTGGACCCCATCTTTGAGTTGGGATCTTCAGGGTCAGGGTCGCCACTTCACGAGCATACACCTTTTTTCCCCCCGGTTTGGCTCGAGGAACCGCATTTCGCCGTTTCAACGGAATCTGAGGCAAAGGGCCGTATCGCCCAGCAAGCCCACCTCTCGCTTGGGTGGCTCCGACCTGACGGCCAGTCCTGGACCCCATGGACCCCAAAAGCGAGCCCGATGCTTGGGGCTTTGGGTAAGGGACATGCGGAACTTCAAGGGAAACCAACCCATACTGACACATGGGCGCATTTTTTGTTGGATTCCCCCCCCAAAAGAAAAGAAACAGGTGTTTTCAAGTCAAGTTGGTCTCCCGAAAATGCAACAACTTGTTTTGGCCCTGGTTGCGGTGTCCCTTGTTGGGGATTCGTCAGCCCTGTTCCAAGGACGGGCTTATTGAGACCCAAAATGGCCAATGGGGGCGTTCGGAACCAGGTATTGGCATGGGGACGCTGGCACGGCAGAACCGCAGCACAAGGCGCGCTGCCATCGCGCCACAGGCCCTCCGGTGC